GAATTTTGTGGAAAGGAATATTAGAAACGAATATTAGGAAGTCGCTCACTGCAAAATCACACATCAGACGATTGAGCTAATATGCATTTCTTATGATTTGATCGTCGAACTCACCTCTTTCTCCCGTTGGTCCAGTCTCTCCAATCGGACCGAAATCGCCTTCTTGTCCCTCTTCTCCGGCTTCTCCATCACAACCTGAAATCGGAAAATGCTTGATAGTGTTCATGAAAATAAGTTCAGGATACTCAATTCATTATTATTAGCAAATTTTTTTGCCGAGGAGGAATTTAAGATTTAAGAAAAGCGAGACAAAAAATTCAGTGTCACGTGGACAAGACAAGTTCATTCTACTAGACAGTTGTTCAGGCGCTACAGTTCACGGAACTATCGATGCATTCAGCCTCGCCAACGATTCAGTCTCCACATTCAGCGAATTGAACCGATGAAAAAGAAACAAATCCCAATACCTGGACGTCCTGGCTGTCCTTTTTTGCCTTGTGGTCCTCGTGGACCTCTTGGTCCTTTGTATCCAGGGAATCCGGGTGGTCCTGATGGACAGGGTGGACATGGTCGTGAGGGCATGGCTACTGCCAAGCCATTTATGCCCGGCTTTCCAGGTGCACCCGGTGGGCCATCTTCACCCTTTTCACCCGGCTCACCCGGCGGTCCTCTTGGGCCTGGTGGACATTTCTTACCTCCTCCTTGTTCACTAACAGCACTGTAACCATTGCTATACGCATATCCGGAGTCTTCCTCAGCCATTGGGCCAACTTCATAACTCTCGCCTGGATCTGCAAAATTTCAAAACACTCACAAACGGTTAACTGCTAACAACTTTTCAGGGTAGCACACATCATCCATGCCAGACAATTCATTATCTTGGTCAGCCACTTACACCATAAATGAAACATTGCAAAGCGATTTGATCCCATTACTTGACACCATGTTTACGATGCTCTCATTGCTATTACAATAAGAATTTCCTAATTTTCATAGAATTATCAAATTCTTATTGTGAATCTCCATGCAATACAACGAATGGAATACAAACATTGACGTGTTCTTCGTTTGTGCCAACCCAATGAGCGATGTTGTTGCTTAATGGCGATGCCACGTGAACGTCTCGCTGAGTTCACATTCATTGCTTGCAATTCATTCCACATGTCGTTGGACATCACAACGAAATAATCTCGATACTCGTTCAGTTCATTCTCCATTGAGGCGATCTCATTGAGCAACATTGGAAACACACTCAAAAGTGACAGAAATGCCACTGCTGATGAAATTGCCGCGATTACGGCACCCAAGCGGAACACCATCAGACTCATCTTGACGTCAGGTCGTCGTAAATCTGCGTGCAGTGCAAACTGAAAGTAGTTGATCAGATCGCAAAGAATTTGATCGCATCAAAAAATCTTCGACGGCCTCTCAAAAGTCATCAACCACCTTATTTTGAAATTATGTGCACAAGCAATCTGGCGGCCATTTCACAATTTCACAATCCACAATTCTTGGAAACTTTTCTCCTTTATAAGGCGCATAGTGGTAATTAGGTAGATCAAGTAGTAAAAGAGTTTTATTGATAAAGTATTATCAGCGCAATTAGAGATGATTCTTTATGAAGTTCAACGTTTCGGCCGGCGTTGAACTTCGTGTAAAGAACCATCTCTAATTGCGCTGTTAATACTTTTTCAATAAAACTATACTATTATTTAATCCACACTTCACAATTGTAACAAGCGATCCAATTTTGAAATCATGTAAACAAGCGATATGGTGGCCATTTCGTAATTGTCTAGCCAGAACATATTTAAATTATGAAATTATGTGAGAAACTATCTCCGTTCAGAAAAATACCAAAGTAAATGCCGTCTGAACTGGTTTCTAACTTTATTAGGGCAAAATAACATACTGTACCACAGAACAAGCATTCGGCGCTATCGGATGTCTCATTTCACAACTGTGTAACCAGAACACTATTATACGAAGCAATATCAAGGGTTGTTTCGGAAAAAATACGAAGAAGCCTTTAGCCATCTAACAAANGCCATCCAAGAATTTGTTAGAAATCATTCGCTAGTATGAGTTCTGAATGAGAAGTTTCTGGTCAACATCTGAATGCAGTTGATGATTTTTCCACTTTTATATAGGAGATCTTCCATCGTTGCGCGGATAAAACCACACTTGTGCAAAAAAGTGTGGTTTATGACAGTCAATGACTCCTTTAAGAGCTCATTAATGAAGTGATTCTACGAATAAATGGGATCTGAGGACATCACAAACAATGATGTAGTGCGAGATCATTGATAGGTTCATTTCAATTAACGACAGGATTTGTTCTTAATATCCTTTAGAATATTAAGAATTCCTGCAGCTCACATACAGATTCCTGTCGAAATTATCATACATCGATTGCTGGCATCAAGATTTTGTTTCGGAAAATCAAGATTGAAACTACACTGAAACAATGTTGATTAAGTGACCTATGCCACATTCCATGGTCACTTGTTCTGGAGGGGAAAACAATTTCCAGAAAACCAGTTCAAGACAGGATAACATCGAGGGAATGCAACAAGAATTCTTTTATGATGTTAGCAACTACAGATAAAATGTTGCATGGTTCCAATCTGACATGCTCATCATCATCGTCGAAATTCCGGGATAATTAGAAAACCAATTAGAATGAGCACATCTCCAGATCGATATCCACAGTTTCGAATCCTCATGTAACGCTAGAAGTGGATGGTCGATACAACAACTCATGAAAACTCCTTTCATCCAATAGCTTTACAAATGTTCCATTTCATCATGCATATCTTATACCTGTGGTTCTCACGTTCGGGTGCTCCATTATCCTTTTAGATAATCCGGCAGACCGCCATTACTCCCAAATTACCCAAAACGGTTAAATTGACTTCATATGAGAACCATTGTGCTAGACCATTGTGTTGCTCATTATTGCAATCGATGATGATTGCATGGAATGCTATTGTCTATGACACGCTCACTTCAAACTGTTTTGCATGGATTCTCATTNCGTCTCAATTTCACTTCACAGTTCGAATCAACTTCTCATTCTGTATCATATACTATTTACTGGATACGTTGACGAGTGTTGACAACCGAAATCAACAATACAACAATCGAATATTATTGCTCAACAACGTTCGACAGTCAAATGATCGATTATAGAGTGTGTTTGATAGAATGGTCTTTGATTGCGAATTTGTGTAATTCTATCATCCAATCACTAATAATCCAATGAATATTATCAATTTCTGTGGAACAAATATTTTTGATCGGCCAGTTTATCAAAGTTATCAACGAAAACTTTCTTAACACAACATAAAATTCTCCCAGACTGATATCTCCATATCCGATTCCTCATATCAGCCAATTTCTCAACAACCAGCAATCAGCTGAATAGGAACCGACATAATGAATACGTCTTGTTTGTTCCTCTTCCTAATATATCACCTAAGACGAAATGTTCGCATGATTGAATGTGTGAACAGATACACTGATAAACGTTTGCTCGTTATCATCACTGTTCCATATATAACGATCAGCATAGTCATTAGAACCGAGAAATATTGAGTAAAGAGAGTGAATTCATCGCGAAGCACAGTGAATGTGTAAGAAATTATTGCATGTGATACGATCGATGTTAACATCACCGACCTCTCGTATTATCAATGTTTTATCGTTGTATGAGGTCGTCATCGCATACGCAAATATGCAGGTCGCCACCACATAGGCAAATAAGTTTCCTGCAATCAACTTTCCAGCAAACTTCCTCCTGTGATCGACTGAACGAAAATTGTTCAGTGCGAATGAACGTTCACATCGAAAGAGTTCAACGTGAAAATTTTCAACGCTCGTTTATGGAACACAACAAAGATTTTTTACGATGAACTCTGGAGAGTAGGCTCGTCTAGACGACGAAGTCTCAGAAATGATTCATTCATTCACGTTGTGAACGATTCTAATCACATTATCATTTCAGGTGAATTCAGTTGATATTCATAAAAATTGTGTGACAATATTCAACGCGAATGATGGAACTGCGGCATTTTGTGAGCGATGGTGATATGCGTGATGCATTGCGTCAAACTGAGAATCATCCTTATATGATGCCAGTTTACTACTCGATTCGACATGAACTCACGAAGAGGTATTGAATGTGATGAGGTGTTAAGTGAATGGCCCAGTATGAAAGATTTAACGATGATTTCACAACCATCCCTCAATGAACAGATAGATTATCGACGGATTGGATGTGAGTGATTGTGAAATCATTCATATTGGGCATGCATAATGTACTCTGTTGGATATAGTTAATTCGTCTGCGGCTTCTGAGATATAAGAGGAATGTGCATCTTCGTTTGCTATTTCATTAAGCAATAAATCAACTTCAATGAAAATCAACTCTTTAGCCTTTCTTCATCTTTAGCCTTTCCCTAGTCTTTCCTTATTAATAAATCAAACTGTGCAGCCTTTCCTTCTTAATTCAGGTTTCCAGCGAGTCCGATTCAATTGTTTGGATATCCATCACAGAAACCAATCCTATGGTTCATTATACGGCACAACGTTCATGTTGAGTTAGTTCTCATGCGTCAATCTAAATTTTCCAACAATAACTAAGATGAATAAGTTTTGAATTAATGAGAACAATATTAGTTTTTGTACTAAAACTAATATTGTTCTCATTAATTCTACACCAGTCAGAGATGGAAACCAACAGATTTTCTGTGGTGGCCATTGATCAAGCATCCTATTGGTGGATATTGAAATTCGGTGAGCAAGGCACCTATCGAGTTACGCAATGGATAAT